TCATATGGGTGGGGCATTGTGATGTCACATGGGGGGGCAGCAAACTTTACTGCAGACACTGCATCCTTGTGGGCGGACTTGGGGGGGGGGGAAGCACTTTGGATGGACTCGGGTGCAGGCACCGGGGGGCCCAGTTCTGAGCTGTGTCAGGGGCCCCAAAATTTCTGATGGCAACCCTGCATGTATATATGCATAAAACAAATTGTATAAAATAAATTGTATTGAATAAAAATTACAATTGGCATTACTTAGTCCTGACACTGACCCATATTCCTTAATCCAGATTTTAAAATCATGGGCATACAGTCTAAAGCAGGACCAGTCCTAGTCTATGGCAACTAAGTGGCTGCCACTGCTCCGCACTTTGGGGGCTCTCACTTGGCAGGAGCACAAATATACTGGTAGGAGGATGAATGAGCAGCGAGGGAGATATGTACTCACTGTGTTCCTCTTGCACAGTTCCCTTGCACAACCTGTAGTGTATTAGCAGCGGGTATGTGAAGTCATCCCAGCTTTGTTATCACTACAAGCTGAGGATGGGAGAGATAACTCCATAAATTGGTACCCTTATGTAGATTTGTCTTATTTAAGGATACCAAATTAGGGAGCCATTTAGCAGATAGCTCTCTTATTTGGCTATCAGGCTGCAAGGGGGTGGTCCCAAACTAATTCAAGGATGTGATGATTTCTATTGAAATCACCAGTTTTATGAATTGGGGGGCACTCAGTTAGCTGAAGAGGGCTTTAGGGGTCCTTCAAGTTACAGGAAGAATTTTCAATGTTAAGTCTTTCTTTCTACTTCTGTATTTGCATGCTATACTGAAGCGATGCATTATAGGGCTGGGATAAAAATGTTTTTACAGGGCTGCTCTTTATTCCCAGTTCAGCCTTGACCCTAACCATAAGGAATACCTCTGCTGATATAAGTACTGGTATCAACAGATTGCTTTCCTATTAAAAGAGTAGAGAATGGACTGTGACCACTATCTACTGACAGTGTCCAGCAATACATAGGCGTGTGCACGGGGTGTGCAGGTTGTGCCTGGGCCTATGGATTGAGTCCTGCAGGAACAGAGTTCCTGCACTTTTTTTGAGCAGGAACACTGTTCCTGCAGGCCCTCAGCGCCCCCAAATGCCCCCATTCATCCCCCCGTGTTTCCCCTGTCATGGGGGGGGGGGAGGCCAAGAGGTGATGGACCTCCCCCCCGTCGGATGCCTGTCTCTATATCAGACGCGGCGAGGGAGCTGTGTCCACTCTGTTCCCTCGTGACGCTCCGTGAGAGGGAGCAGAGAGCACACAGCTCCTTCGCCACGTCTGATATGGAGACAGGCGCCCGACCCACTGGACCCCAGGAACATGTCCACGCCAACTCTCCTGGTAGGGAGACTGTGTGGACATTTTTTAAATAAAAAAATAATAATTTGTGAGTGTGTCTGAGTATGTGCGTGTATGTGAGTGTATGTGTGTCTGTGAGTGTGTGTGTCTGTGAATGTGTGTGTGTCTGTGAGTGTATGTGTGTGTATGTGTGTCTGTGAATGTATGAGTGTGTGTCTGTGAGTGTGTGTGTGTGTGTGTGTCTGAGAGTGTATGTGTGTGCACGTATATATATATATACACACACACACACACACACACACACACACACAAGGGTATATTATTATTTTTTAGGGGGGGTGGGAATCTTGGGAGAGTTCCCACACTTTATTCCTCCTGATCTCCCCTGTCGGCTCATGCAGAGCTGGCGCTATCTGAGTGCCGGCTCTGCTCTAAGCCTCTATGGTCCGGCGGGGAGATCAAAGATCTACCTCACCGGCCCACAGCAGCATGGAGGGAGGTAGGAGAGGACCCGGGGAGCTCTAGACAGCAGCTCTGCCAGGTTCCTCTTGCGAGATCTGAGCATTGCCGCAGCAACGCTCAGATCTCGCGAGAGTTAACTCTTGCCCCACAGGCTAGAGTTCACTCTCCACTGGACCACAAGGGATGGCACATGGCAGCAAGGATCCCCCCTCCCTACATAAGGTAAGAAGGGAGGGGGGATATTTACTAATCTGCCCCCACCTCTACAATCCCTCCAAACATACAGCACACACACATACAGCACCCACACACACACACAGCACCCTCACACAAACAGCACACACCCAGCACCCTCACACACACAGCACACAGCACACAAACAGCACCCACACACATACAGTACACATACAGCACTCTCACACACACAGCACCCTCACACACACAGTATACTAACCGCACCCTCACAAACACACACAGCACCTTAACAAACACACAACACCCTCACACACAGCACACTAACAGCACCCTCACAAACACCACCCTCACAAATACACGACAACCACACACATCACACAAACAGTACCCTTACACACACACACATCACACAAACAGCACCCTCACACACACAGCACCCTCACACAGCAAACTAACAGGACCCTAACAAACACACACACACACACACACAAACAGCACACTCACACACACAGCACCATCACACACACACAGCACACTACCAGCACCCTCACAAACACACAAACACCCTCACCCACATAGCACACTACCAGCACCCTCACATCACACTAACAGCACCCTCAAATGCACATCACACTAACAGCACCCTCAAATGCACATCACACTAACAGCACCCTCACACACACACACAGCACCCTTACACACACAGCACCCTCACACAGCACACTAACAGCAAACAGCAGTGTATGTATGTGTGTGTGTATATATATATAAATATATATATATATATACACACATACATATACATACAGCATGTGTTTGTGCTTTAGGGTTTACACGCCTATGGATATGTCCATGTAATTAAGAAACAAAAGCATGCAGCCTCTACTGATAACAGTGTGACCAGTGCTGAACATCTGGCAAACCCAGCACAATCAGCAGGGGGAATGCAGAGAGAACCTGTCATGGTCTGTTCAAACCCTGTGGGTTTCCGATGAGGATCTGCAAGTTTAGTATCACCACAGCTGAGCACAATCTGCTCAGGCACATTGTTCATAATGCATTTAAATGACTATGTGCAAAACTCGCTTTGAGCCAGGGCCGGATTAACATAGGGTGTGACGAAGTGCCCTTCGCCACTTGGTACTGGAGAGGCCTGCTTGCCAGCCTCCTCCCCTGTGACTATGACTCTTTGATGTATTTGCCTTTAAAGCCCCTTTTCTACCTTCAGACAGACTATTTATGTAGGCTGCTTTATTTATCTTATGTTTTAGTCACCCTGTACCCATTATAGGTGCAGGGTGTGTGTAATGTAATTGTTTATAGTGTGTGTGTGTATACTGTGTAATGTATTGCCTGCTCTCTTGTATTGCTGAGGTTTGCTACCAACTAGGTGGGTTTGGCTATGGAGCTGGTCTAGTGCCCTCTGTTGGTAGCAACAGCAATATGCACTACCTGAATTGCAAGACTGGTTCATTTGCATATTCGGGTAGATTTGCATATTGCTAATTCTGCAGGCAGGTGAGATATTTAATGTTAAATATTGTCTCCCCCCACCCCTTTAAACACCATTGTGTTGTGATAAGTCACTGTGTGTTGCTTGATGTGTTTTGACTGTTTGTGATTTTATTGAGGTTTCACAACAATGTTATTGTGGTGACTGTATTGGCTGGTCCCAAGGGAATAAAGGTTTTGACAGTTCTTCTTGATCCCTCTAAACGTAGCCTTGTCTCGTTATTGGAGGGAGCTGTTATAATCACACTGGGGATTGCTATGCTCTGCATGCTCCCCTGAGCTTGAATCACTTAGCTCTTTTAAGAGCTTGTTCCTGACACGCTCTCCTTGGAGGAGGGGTCTTCACCACACAGTCCTGGATGCTGGAGGTTCGTACAGGGTGGAAGGAAGAGTTATTTCCCACACAGTCCTGGAGGACAGAAGCTGATCCAGGGTGGAAGGAAGACGGCGAGACTCCAGTCAAGATACGGCGGTTGCGGAGTCTGTGGTGGTTGTGGTGTCTGCTGCAGCGCTTGGAGTCCTCAGGAAGCGCTAGGAGCATCCGTCAACGGATACTCAGTCGGAGTACAAGGTGCTCCGTTACATAGGGGTTGATGGAGTTGCTGCTCCAGGCCCATGCCCATGAAATAGGCCCATTGATAAAAAAAAAGCAGGTATTTGAGACTGCCTGGGGGGTGCCGGTATTGTAGTAATACCGGCAATACAAATGCTGGTATTTTTCTCAGTATAAACGGTGATTGATCTGCAATACCAGCACTGGACAGTAGAGGCTGCTGTGTGTGTGTGTGGAGATAGACAGGGACAGTAGGTTACAGCATCTCACTCCCTGCCTCTCTTTACTCACTGTTCCGCAGGGGAGCAGCTACACAGCACAGAGTCCAGACAGCAGCTCCCAGCCTGCATGTCAGGTAAGTGAGAGACAGACACCCAACAGACGTTAGGAGATATGGGGACACTAAGTCACTAGGGACACAGTGTCTCCATGTCTCCCAGTGTCCCCATAAGTGCCTTCTAAAATATTATTTATTTAGTATGACACAATAATAAATAATCAGCTATAATGAACTTACCTTTTCTGCATGACTGGTAAATTTTTGTCAGCAACTGGACACATTTATCTTCTTTCCAGTCATGAATTATCCGAGCGATAATAAAAAGGTCAGCTTCAGGAATTGGGTCGTTAAAGAAATCTCCTTAAGTGGGAGAGCAAAGAGATCATCATAGGAAAGCAGTAAGAAAATACAAAATTTATTATGCCAATTTAAATAATTTGTAAGGAACACATGCTTCACAGTTTACCATATAATAATTAAGGAAAGTGATAAATTAAAGTGAATTTCAACATTAAGATCAAAAGTGCAGAACTAGATATATTAAAAAAAAACTCAATGCCACCTATGCTTTCAGTTCAGCTACTCTGACCTGAAATTTGGCATTAAAGGGAGACTCCAGATCCCTAAAACAAAGCTTGCTAAAGTACTTTATGTGTGGAGTATGTGTCCTCTATTTAAAATTTACAAAAAGTGCAGATTTCTATAGAAGTTGGCACTTTTATAAATTAACCTAGTTACATCCCCTGGCTGTGAGTCAGACAATTGGTTCGGCTACTTCCTGGTTGTCTAGCTCAGTGAAGACTTCTCATTGAGCTCCATTAGGGAGTCTGTGATTGGACAGTCACATAAAGTCTGGCTAGGATAGAAGGGGAGGGTTTGCAAAGGTAGCAAACAAGAGCTTTTTGCAGTTTTTGCAAACCGCTCTTTTATATAACCCCAATGAAAAAATGCATAGGTAAATGCATGCATGTTTTCATTGGGGGTATCTCTACTAAAAGTGAATTTTATTTGGTGGGGGGGGGGGGAGTAGAAGGGTGTTTCTTTATCTTTGACTTAACTTTGATTTCTCTTTTTATTAAATAACCACAACGGTATTATGATTACAGCTATGTGAATTATTTCTTAAAGGGACACTATGAAGACCCGCACAACTTATACTCATATGGTTTTGAATTCCTAATTGTCATGCATTTTTGACATTGCTCTGTTCTATTTTATTTGAAATCAGAGTTTGAGAAAACAATGATAACGAATAAGACCAAAACTAATCTACAACACTTCAAGTACAATAATATAATAATCAAAGGTAGCATGATGAATTTGCAGTCAGTTGTAGAACAAGAGTACCCGCAATAACAACTAGTATTAGACTCCAGAACTGACATCACATGTGGCGATCAATAAATAAAATAAGAAGTATAAAAAAAGGAATGTATACAAATTATAAAACACACCCAAGTGTAGTTGAACAAAAAACACTTGGCAAAGCCCAAAAGGAACAAATCCCTGTAGGGGAACTCTGTAGAGCTCAGAGTTCAGTTTGGGGACCAAAGTGTAAAAGCAGGAGTAACCAAAAGGACAGAAAAAAGAAAGCAGGTTGAAGAAGGCAAATGTAACAAGATTACAAGGGACTGAAGAAGAGGCAGGAGAGCAGGCCTACCCAGGACCCAACATGAACCACAACCCCCACCACATATGACTAGTTATAAGAAAAACACAAACAAAAAAAAATTAAAGATCAAAGCTCCACTGTCTAGGGTCCCTGCACTTGAGGGGAGGACAAATAGCCTAGCCTATGGGTAGGCAAACTTAGGCACTCCAGATATCATGGACTACATCTCCCAAAAAGATATAGTCCACAACGTCTGTAGTGTGTTGCCTACCCCTTTCTTAACCAGTAAAACCAGTGCATTGTGTAGCGTTAGGTTTCTGCTTGCATTGCTGCTGGCATGCTTTTGAATTGTCTCTTCCACCCTGGCTGCCCATTGGGAGAGATATGGAGAAAATCCACTACACCATGGTATTGTTGCTCCCAGCACATAATAAGGTAGGTACCACTAAATTTCTATACGATTTAATGGTTGTCAAAGTAGTGTGATAGAACTGTGAGCTGGCGTGAAGGGGGGTGAGTCAGTAATCATGCAATTAAGGCTCCCCAGCATTGCTCGGCACTGTTTTGCTATCAGGACACCATATAGGTTGGTGGTGCCATGACGAACAATTTCACCATTGGCTCGCGGTCCGCCCCTCTATCTCGTGGGATAAGATGGACATTGGCCTGTGGCTCTCCATCATGTCTCGCCCGGCGG